GTCCATAAGCGGTTGTGGAATTACGCCGACTCACCATTATGACTTCATTCATGGAAACATCTACAAGTATAGCATATCCAAATTACAGTCAAAGAAAAGAAAAAAAGAGGACACACTTCAGGCTCTTTACGAACATCTTGAACGTTTTCAGTTTCACAAGTATACTTTCAAGCCTTCTCATCAGGTGAAACACAGGCAAAGGGAAAGGAACAAGAACAGTGGACTAAGTACAGTAAGGAGGTGATAACTCAGTGCAAAGAAGAACGGATAACTAAAACTAACAGCAAAAATGTGTGACCTATACACATAGAAATAATGACACAAAGGTGCAAGTGCTAGAAAATCTAACAAGCGTGACTTGTGGTGTGACAATAAGAGACTTATGAATATTTATGACGTCATATAATATTATGGTTGATGTTTGTGCAGGGCTTGGATCAGATCTGCTTTGACTTTGGAATCCTGCTGGCGTTGTTCTTCGCCTTCTTCATTTCTGGACTTCTGATGTATGTAATCAAGCACGCTCAGGAGGTCATGATGGCTGAATCTTGCCCGAGCCTGCAGCCCAAGGGCCGTAGGCCCGAGGGCTGCAGGCAAGGGCAAGATTCAGCCATCATGACAGACAGAGCGTGCTTGATTTGATTTCTTACATCGCGAAGCAACATATTAGGGAAGGTCAAAGGTCGAAAGGTCGAAAAATTATTCCCGAAATGATGTCAAACGGTCCGAACATTCCCGAAATGACGTCAAACGGTCCTGAAACTCCCGAAATGACGTCAAACGGTCCTGATGGCCTGATTATGCCCGCGGCGGGAAGATCGCCTATTGGCCATGGCCCCGGCAACGATCACGTGTCATGTAAGAAACTGGTGTTGCGTATCCGCTACATCAAGCGCTAATGTCTGCCAGGCGCAATGCATTGACGTGTCACTCTGAGGTGCTAAACCTGTCTTGATGATGGTGTTGTTCTAGTGTTGAGATGATTCTGTATTCCGCTATGTTTGTCAGTGTCTTTCATGTCGCTATTTTGTTAGTCATACAGCCCATATACACTCGTTAATGTCAACTTCAGTAGTGCACATTCCCAGACAAGTATTCTGCCTGTCACGTGTGTGTGTGTGTGTGTGTGTGTGTGTGTGTGTGCGTGTGTGTGTGCGTGTGTGTGTGTGACCTCGCAAGGATGGACGACACCAGGTTGCCAAAGCAGATCCTGTTTGCGGAGGGCACTAACACGCGGCCCCGCCATGGACCCAAGCGTCGTTGGAGAGATGTGGCAGCTGCAGACCTGCGTGCGACCGGTATCCCGGAGACGCAATGGTACCACCTTGCTCAGGACCGGAGGGACTGGCGCGAACGTAGCCGTCGGAAGCCACCAAGCCAGCCCCAAATGTTGGGTTAGCTTTTGGGCTAACCCTAGTTAGCGATAAGACCGATGCGCTGCTCTCTATCTCATGCTAGCTGCGATCGAGCTGGCTTTACACGTGCACTCAACTGCTGCGCATGCGCGCCCAAATCGCCTTGGGTAGCTCTTGCTGCGCTGACTTTGGCTTGCGCTTTCCTTTGCAGTGTCACTGAGCAGCAACCGGAATTTGTTTGTTGAGAATAGAATTAATTATTCAGACTCCTTGTAGATTCCTCGCAGCCGCTTACTGCACGACAAACATGTTGTCTACCTCTGAAGCACGCCGTATGAACGTGTCGGACTTGCGGGCCGAGCTGGAAGGCCGTGGGCTGAATTCGAGCGGAACAAAGCCCCAGCTTCTTGCCCGTTTGCTGCTCAGTATCCAGGACACGTCGAGCTCGGCGGCACGGGAACCTCGATCTCCGTCGGCCACGCCATCCTCGCGGCAGGAGCACGAGCAGGAGCAAGAGCAGGATCTGGAGAGTGCTGCAGCAGCTTCTCCGACTCCCCAGATCCCGGACCGGAGCAGTAATGACGATTTGCGCCAGTTTGTGCGGCAGGAAGTACATTCCGCCGTCACCGTTGCCTTGTCGGAGGCGATCGCTCCAATGCTGGCCACCATCACTGCCCCTGGATCCGCTGGAACTCAACCTTCGGCGGAGTCTTCCAACGCTGGTAATCTCTCCGTTCCCCAGACTATACGAGAGAAAATATTGAAGGGTGACTTTGTAGATTTCACCCAGCTGCTGCCCGATACTATCGCCACCTCGTATTCTGCCCCACGCCAGCTTCAGCTGCAGTTCAGCAGTGGCGGCCAGTCTCTGGAGGTGGTGGAAGGTGGAGCGGCGCAGCCCGTTCGTCGACGCGTCCACGACTTGCCGACATGGCTGGAGGCATGGACTCTCTTCATGAACGTCGTGTGTTCTGCCAACCCGTCCCGCCTGCAGGAGATGCTCTCCTACCAAGCCACCATAGTTGCAGCCAACAGGCAATACTATCCGGAGGCTTGGCTGTCGTACGACACCCAGTTTCGCTCTGCCATTTCTGCTCAGCCAGGCAAGCGCTTTGACGTCATCGACATAAATCTGTGGCAAATGTCCGTGACTAGCCGATCAAGGCCCACATGTGAGTCCTGCCGCCTCATCCATCCCGGAGGCGGCCAGTGTCCCTTTCGTCCGCAACGTAACAACCAGCAAGCCTTCAATGGAGTCCGTACGGTGTCTAATGGCCAACCGATCTGCCGGAACTTCAACGCTGGGCGTTGCAGTCTCAGCACGTGCAAGTACGCCCATGTCTGCAACCGCTGCGGGTCCAAGGACCACAACGGATCTAAGTGCGGTAGGCGCCAGTAACTCTGCTGCTTTGGCTGCAGCTCCCGCGATTGTACATATTTCTCCCTGCACTTCACGTTCTACTGATTTCACAAGCGCATGTCCTGCTGTCCACACACCCCTCTCTGTTTCTCGCTTCGAATCACTGCTCCGTAACCACCCTGACAGTTCATTGGCTTCGTATGTTATTAACGGCCTCCGCTGCGGCTTTGACATTGGCTTTACCGGCAACCGCATAACTAACCAGCACTCGTCCAACCTCTCATCAGCATTCCAGCACTCTGCATTTGTGTCTGCACAGCTCACCGCTTCCTGCAACGCCGGCTACACGGCTGGCCCATTTGACTCGCCCCCATTCCCATTTATGTACTGCTCTGGCATTGGCGCTGTTCCGAAAAAGAATGGCAAGCTACGCTTGATACACCACCTGTCCAGCCCTGCCGGCTCCAGCGTTAACAACGGGATCCCTGCCGAGCCTTTCTCTTTGCAGTACATCAGCATTGATGAAGCCATTAACATCATTATGTCCTCCCCGTCTCCTGTCTATCTCTCTAAACTCGATGTGAAGAGTGCTTTTCGTCAAATACCTGTCCGCCCACAGGATTGGCATCTCCTCGGCATCCTGTGGCAGGGGAAGTACTACTACGACCGTGTCTTGCCATTTGGGCTCCGCTCTAGCCCGGCGGTATTTGATGCAGTGGCAGCGACCATCGAATGGATAATGCACCACGAATTCTCCATCCCTAATTTGCTGCATTTTCTGGACGACTACTTGTGCGTGAGCGTGGGCCAGGCAGTGGCGAATCGGCAGCTGGCCATTCTTCTCCGTGCATTCTCATACCTCGGAGTCCCGCTCGCGCCTGCAAAGGTGGAAGGCCCGTCTCGTACCCTGACATTCCTGGGCATTATCCTGGATTGTGAGAAGATGGAAGCCCGGCTCCCTGACGACAAATTGGCCGACATCAAGCGCCTGTTGACTGCAGCGAGCATCAACCCCACCATGTCTCAGCGCGAACTCGAATCTCTTCTGGGGAAACTCTCCTTCGCTGCAAGAGTCATCGTACCCGGCCGGACATTTATGCGGCGCCTGTGGTCTATTTGCAGTCGCTACCAGCAGCCTCACTACCGCATCAGTCTGACTACCGAGTGCCAGGAGGATATCCAATGGTGGCTACGGCTCCTGGAACAATGGAACGGAAAATCATTCTTCCTGTTCCCAGATTGGACACCATCTCCAGACTTGGAGCTGTTCACCGATGCCAGTGGCACCCTGGGCTGGGGCGCATTCAACAGCGGCCGCTGGCTTCAAGGGACCTGGTCGCCTGAGCAACTCACTCACAGCATTGAGTGGAAGGAGCTCTACGCGTTGGTCACAGCGTGCTGCACGTGGGCCAAGGAATGGCGCCAGCTTCGTATCACAATGCACTGCGACAACAAGGCTGTGGTAGATTGCATCCGCTCCGGCACATCCAAGTCACCGCCAGTGATGACCCTGATCAGGGAGCTGTTCTTTGTGTGCGCCCGCTTCAATTTCACCGTCACTGCTGCTCACATTGCTGGCCAGTCTAACTGCATTGCCGATTCGCTGTCTCGTTTCCGCATGGAGGAATTCCGACGTCTCGCCCCAGCTGCTCAAGCACAACCAGACCGAGCAGTGCTGCCATTCCAGTCGATGTAATATAGCCTTGACATACAGGTACCGATTGTCATTGCTAAATTGCCGTATTGAGAACCTGCGTTGGATTTCATCCATCTGCATGCCTACCTTTATCCATCTCGTGCCTTAATCACTTGTTCTTAGCTCTCGTGCATTGGTGGTGAACGCTTGCTGGGGTGCCGTGCGCTGGTTTTCTGGGAACAGCTTCCTTCAACTGGTTGCTTTGCTGCTACTATCTCTGCTTAAAATTGCATACTATTGGTCGGCTGTTTGCGACGCCAATCAGTAGTCATTGCACCCGGTCGCGGGTACTATTGCCGCTCAAGCATGAGCGATTGCTTTGGCCGTT